CCACTAGATGGCGCTAGTCAAGCTGTTATCTGTTAAGCTTTGGCACCAGGTATTTGTGCTAGGCTAATAAGTTTAATCGAATTTAAATTTGTTTTTAATACACACGCTGTTTAGTCGTATTTGAGTATTACAAATTAATGATATGGTTGAAATTGTTCACTACAAAAGTATAATTAATGCTAGTTAGGACGCCATCTGTTGATAAGCCTTGGTATTACGAATTATGGACAGGCTGGTAAATTGGATTTTAATTTGCGAGTAGCGCGCCCACTAACATCTGCGCTATTTAGTGACAAATTTGAGTATTACAAATTACTTTCGTGGCAGAATGCTGTTGTAATAAATTGTATGATTACACTTTGACCAGTCCACAGATAATACCAACATGTCTATTCAACGAAGGTAGTTTCGTCATGCTAACCTTCATGAAACCAGAAGCATTTGTAAATATTATAGTTTTAGACTGCCGTTCAACGAGAAACTCTGATGTAAAGTAATCAATTGTAAGTATTGACAATTAAAAAACCGTCACATCTCTAAATTTCTCACAAACATTGCACGACTAAATACATGTTCTTTCTCCTGTTACGTTGGCAGCAGCACTGTAATGTCTTTTGCTGTACCCCACTACGTGAAAAGTGACTGCTGTCTTGCGAAGCTAAGGAACATAGTCGCTACTGCGAAGTAATTTTATATGCTTTTTACAAATATCTAAGCCAAGAAAATGTTTGTCTAGTAGTCATAGAAGACGATGTGGTCTGGAGAAAACTACATAATGACGAACTTACAAATTTGTACTCCTCCCCCTGTATTGTCAGGGTGATTAAGTCGAGAAGAATGAGATTGGCTGGGCATGTAGCGCGCATGGATGGGACAAGAGGTGTGCACCGGGTATTGGTTGGGAAGCCTGAGGGTAAGAGACCGATGGGGAGACCTAGACGTAGATGGGCGGATAATCTCAGGCGGTATCTATGGGAGATAGGGGTTGAAAGAGACTGGATTTTGTTGGCCCAGGGAAGGGTCAGGTGGAGGGCTTTGGTTAATTCGGTGATGAACCTTCGGGTTCGTTAAGCCATCTAGTTAGTTAATAGTCATAATTCTGTGAAACCAAACGTCTTCAGTTTATTTCAGAAATCGATTAGGAGTGTGATTTAGGTTTTCTCTGCTCTGGTGATTTTCGAATTTCGTATATATTCGCTTGTCCAATGGCGCTGACTTATAGGTTCATATTATTTAACATCCAATTAGACGTGACAATGTTGTGATACCAGGAGACAGCAAAGAAAGCCCAGTCAATTGTTTTTTTATTATTTGCTGAAACTGGAGTTTGTTTTCATGCACGTGCATCAATAGTCTGTCGAATTGAGAAGAATTGACCTTGAAACTGAGGAGTAGTTTTGTTTTTAGAAGGGAATTATTTATTAACATGCCTACTTCTGTAGGAGCGAAAGATCACGAGGACTGGATACTACTGCAATAAACAAGTAAGGGAGGTAGGATTTGAGGTTTTCACGGCGGTGAGTCCGAAGGTGGCTGTCTTTTGTGTTGTTGCGCCGTGTAGTCTGTTAGACGTTTGCCGACGTTTCAGAGGTCGTTGATGCCTAACTCATCAGGTCGGTAAACTTCTACCAGACTACACGATGCAACAACTCAGAAGACAGACATTTCAAGCAATGGAAGGGCGAAGGGGTACAGCTCCACGATGTGTTTGCGCATGCGTGATGAAGTCTTCGCCATTGATGAATATCTTCAGCTGTGATGTCTATCATTCCGTTTGAAGAAAATATAAAATGGCTGGATGGGTTTTCTTTAACATGTTATGGACGTTTTGTTAGTTGGGGGTAATAAAGGCCTCAGTTATTAATTTTATATATTAATGCCAATGTGACATGCCGAAGTAGTGATGTAAAACAATGATGACGCCATTACTCACAATCGTCTAAGTTGCGTTATGGCGTCATGGCGCCTGAAGTAGTCATTGGCCTTGATGAGGTCATTTTTAGTTGATTTTGTGAAGCGTGTAAATAGAATGTGTGGAGCAGGGAAGACCTTTTGGAGTTTGTATGTTCTCGTAACAGACCACCTTTTTCAGTCTTCTTGTTTTTGGATGTGAGGGTCTCACAATGCCATATTTTCAAAACCTAAAAATGTCGCATGATACTTTTGCTCCTGCCAGCCGCGTGTTCTTCAGTCCTTGTTGTATTTTCTAACACTCGACACAAACTAATTTGATTGAAGTAGGCCTATGACACCGAAAGTGGAATTTTAAAAACGTAAAAATATGCTGAAATATGTTAAAAATTGTTTTTGTGCACTGTTCAAACAAAGGAGGTTAAGTTACTGGTGACCATATTGTAGATACAATGCAGGAAGAATAAGAAAAGTACCAAATGTTCTGAAAGTGGCGTAAAATACATTTAGAAGGCTTCTGTCTGTCGGATGGCCTGAGAGATGTTTCTGATTTTCGTCAGTCCTTCTAGCAAAATTATGAGATTACCTTAAAATTGACCACTATCGTTTCGGCAACCCAGCAGACAGCCATCTTCATGCCTTTAGTAAAACAACAGATTAACCAACTAAAATGTATATTTTTATTCCTCATCTCTTATTTTAAAATTGGAAATATTTTCTCTTACATTCATTTTAATCATCTAAATTTCTTTATTAAATCATTAGAAATTCTGTGTGATGTAACAAATGTGAAAGGTAAATAAACATCGCTTTACACAAAGTACCGTGTCTGTTCACGTAACGTTGACGAAATTACAAATTTCATTTGTTATTTATTCAAACGTGACAAAGAAAACAGTAAAGAAACAGAATCAGCAGACCATCCCTAAACCGCGACATTGATTATGACAAATGACACTGCAGTTCTGAGATACTATGCTGTTCCCTGAATATCATTAACCTGAACTTCAACTGAAACTCAATACTTGCACAAGAAGTTGCGTTTGTTAATGTAAAGACCGACATGTAATAAATAATGCCCATAGAAAGCATTTCTTGGCAATTTTTGAACCCGTTGCTAAGAATAACAAATATGACTTTGGTAGTTGTTTGCCCGTCGCCATGTTCTCGTCTATAAATTGAGTCTACCCGATACACTTCGTCGCTGTTAATTATCTTTGCTTCGCTAACGATATACTCTATTTAATTTGTAGTTTTTTCCATAGAAGCTTTCCTCTAAACGTAGCCAGATGTGGCAGCATTTCCTTTAATTAATACAGATTCACACAAGACACTCAACGAATCTCCCCAGTGGTGCTTTCCTGCCGAGACACGCCGGGTTGCCAACCGGAACATTTTAGAACTAGAATTCGAATTAAAATTAAATTATTTGGTTATTCCGTCAAATCACAATGTATTTAAAATAAGATAATTAAAATAATTAAAATATCATTCTGTGTTCCATATCGAATAATCGATTTACAATTGGAACAGTTACAACATGTTTCGGTTTTATTAAACCATCACCAGGTGTAAAATATTATTAAATTTAAAACTCAATTACAATTTTTTACAATTCATATGAAAATATCTGGACACGACCTCCAAAACTACACTACGAAAAAATTGTAAAAAATTGTAATTGAGTTTTAAATTTAATATAATTTTACACCTGATGATGGTTTAATAAAACCGAAACATGTTGTAACTGTTCCAATTGTAAATCGATTATTCGATATGGAACATAGAATGATATTTTAATTATTTTAATTATCTTATTTTAAATACATTGTGATTTGACGGAATAACCAAATAATTTAATTTTAATTTAATAAGTCACAATATGACGCAACTACACTATCTTAGAATTTGAAGAACGTATTCTGCTAAAGTCTATAATTTAATAACAAATTAAAGTTAAGTAAGTACAAGCAAAGTGAAGTAGTACTCTTCACAGCTCTGAGTAGATGCCATCTTGCGTCGACCGCATTTCTTTTTGGGTTTTACTCGTATGTTTGAACCTGTCTGGAATCTTTACTTTTAGAATACGACCTGTGGTTTTCTTGCTTGTGTGAGATAGTTGCACAAAGTTCATAATGGATAGTTTGCTAGACGAATTACTGTGAACTTTATCTTTTGATGCATACCGCTTACTTAGCTACATTACTCTACGTTACATAAAGTCCTAATTTAAATTAAGAAAATTAGCATATACGGAAGTTCGTAAGAAAAATTAATATATAAAGCTAAACACAGGTTTCATTTGCAGCTACGACTCTTATTGGAAATACTTTTGATTAGGAGAATATTTAATTAAAAACAAAGAAACGTGGCATCTCACTGTGTGATATTTGCAGTCCAGTTACCTTCGTAACAATGTTGTTCAGTTTATTCCAACTACTGATTTTATTATCTATCAAGTGAAGATCTTTACGTGCGTAACGTGACATGGAGTATAAATGCGTCAATGACTCCAATAGAATCGAGAAATGTTAAACTTAATATCATAAATAAGGCGCTTATTTTCGTGAATATAATTTATGTTGCAAATTAGTAATTATGGCATTCGTGTCCTTTATCGTGGCCCTAAATTTCACGATGTTCATTTGAAGTGTGCATATCTTAGTGAGGTTGACGTAGGCTACTACATTCGAATAGAAATTCAGCACAATAATGTCCGGCGAATGTGGAGGCCATGACATCATTCACTGATTGTAAATTAATGGACGTAGCCAAATTGTAGGATGTCCACGTTCACCGAGCATCTTTCTTTCACGTCAAGGTCGAGTTGCTGTTATATTCTACAGGTCAACCCCCCCCCCCTCTCTCTCTGGCCACCGGTTAAGGACTTTGGTTAGGGAGCAGTAAATGTGCCCTACTGAATAAATTCCGATTACAAAAGCTACTTATTTAATATTTAATTAGAAAATACACTTGTTTGTCTGAAAGTTCCTAAATTGACAAGCCGAATCCTCCATCCCTTTATCTAGCTTGAACCAGACAAAGTACCTCACCTACAGTCACAGTAGAACAAAACAACAGGTACTCACTCAGACCGCACATCATGGCGAGCACGAGTGACGCAGATTCCAATAGCAATCTTTCTTGTTCGAGAGCCCCCTTTGAGTACTGATCCTGCAAATTTATACGGATCAAAGGACGCGCAGTTATGACGTGGTTCGAGGGGACCGCCCTGGAATCGGCGTTTCTCATTGGTCAATTGGATTTGTTCTACTTCCCTAACCACAATATGGAACACAGAACTTAGACGCGGATTCATGCGGTAGGAAGTGTGGTTGGTTTAGTCCGACTTCCCCGGACTTCCTTCCAGTAGTCCTGTACGAGGTGCGATCGGAAAGTTTCTAGACTGCGCCTATAAAAACCCGTACACTTATCTCAGATATTAAATTCATCCATCACCCTCGAAGTAGTTCCCCTGGGACTGAACATAACGATCCCAGCGCCGCTGCCAAGCCTGGAAGCATCCCTGGAAATCTTTCTTTGTCAGCCTGTCAAGCACCATCTGCGATTCTGCCTGAATCTCTTCTATCGTCTCAAATCTCCTTCCCTTTAGCTGAATTTCATCTTTGGGAAGAGGAAGAAGTCACACGGAGCTTAGAAAGGAAGTTGGGGTCGGATCTTGCAAGATCTTTGAGCTCCTGACAAACGAGAAGTCGATTCTGCTTCTGGGCCTCAGACAGGATGCGTCGCATGTGCAGTTCTTCCTTTAGAATCAGCTGACAGGCCCCATAGCCTATCCCAACAATGCTTGCGTTAGCATTTCATAAATTTCCGTAGCCGTTTTGGCGAGTCTTTGGCAAAATTTGATACACACGCCATTCCGAAATCGCAGGAGGGTCGGTGTAATGCACTACCAAAACGCCCGTAACTAAGAAACAAATGCTAATTCGATGATGCCGGCTGGCACACTGATTCACTATGAATGTAGGCCGCACCCCCTAGCGGCAGAAGCTCGTACTACATCCGGTTCGCCCTCTATTGACACAGTCTTGAAACTTTCCGATCGCACCTCGTATATTGCGTAACACTGTGAAATTCCAAGATTTACGAAGTAAGTCCTACTCACGGGTGCAAATACACGGCAACGGGGCCCCGGCACAACAGTTGCATTGTGGAATTTGTTATTAGGACAGGGGTCAGCAAACTACGGCCCGCCGGCCAAATCCAGCCCGCCGCCTCTTTTTGTACGGCCCGCGAGATAAGAACGGATTTTACATATTTAAATTCTTTGAAATTTCAAAGTACGCGCTATAACGAAACGGCCGAGTTGAGTAGTTGAGAGAAAGAATTCTATAAATGTCTTCCAAGCGATGGATACGGTCAATTAAGATCATATGCTCGGGGATTTATATCTGTATTTGGCAGCACCTGCCTGTGTGAAAAGACATTTTCAAAGATGAAATATGTAAAATCTCAATACAGGACAGCATTAACGGATGAACATTTACATTCAATTTTGATAATAGGAAGTACTGAATTTAAACCTCAGTTTAGTGAAATATATCATAACAGGCAATTCCATTCTTCTCATTAGTAGAGCTGTATTTCAAACAATTGTAGTCTACTTATTATTATTATGTTACATTTTGTTCAATAAATTTGTTAAAACTTGTTTTTTTTCTTGTTACATAAGTAGGCTTACTATATAAATATCCTCGAGTTTGCCTCTTGGCCCGCAGAGCCTAAAATATCTACTATTTGGCCCTTTAGAAAAAATGTTTGCCGACCCCTGTATTATGATAACGAATATCATCACCTATTTGGCTGTTAATATGTTTCAGCGGACATGGACTAATGTTTAATGAAAGCGAGACTTTATTTTGCAGATATTAAGTCTATTCTAATATTACATAGGCCTAGAAAAATATGAGTCGGTATAAAAGATTGTGCAAATTGAATCTGTTCTTAACTGTTAGTTAACTGAGTAATAAGCATTACAAACAATTTCCAGTCCTTCTGTATATGTATTCAGTTCTGATTTTTTAACCTCGATCCACTCCTTTAGTCGAACGCACATTGGAAGAGCCACAAGATGACGCTTGTCAAGATTTGCTTGGTCATCCCTAAACTAGGCCTTCCACTTTTTTACTGAAGGCTGGATTAATTATATGCATATAGTGAAGTAACTACGATATAATCTGTACGATTGTTAATTGACCAATAAGAGCAACAAATCGAGAGAACTATAAGAAAATACGCACAACACAGTGCAGTGGTCCCCCGGTTTACAATTCCATCGACTAACGTTCCACCTCCTATAGTACCTCATTGTATCTATCGATAAATTTTCGATTAACTGTATGTTTAGCACGGCTCCCAATTTCGGGCAATCGCTCCTATGTGGACTCAGCAGGCTTCAGGCAATCAGCGTTTGTAGCTCACCTGGTTTGCCTTTCAATATCTGATGTGCATTGCTTGTGCAGCAAATGTTTGTCTTATATTCCATTAACGATAACTTAAATTAACAAGGGTTTTCGTTGAACCGCGTAATGTCGTTAACCGAGGGACCACTGTACTGTTCGCACCGCAGCTACATTCGACGCAGAAATCTCCAACTGTGTCCAGAAGATATGATCGTGTGCTCTGATTAACTAAATAACATGTTTTTATTGGTTTATTAAGGTATAATTGGCATTCATGATATTATGTTAAAATTTATTAAAGCAGGTATTCCATTGAATATTCAAAATAATAGTTTTATATATAGTCTATTTTCTGTTTTATTCTGCAATGAATTCTGAAGAAGGGATCTGCTCTATGGGGCTAGTTGTTGCTGTTATTTTTTCTTGGGTCTGTTATAGGCATTCGAATACTTTAGACTGCTGTTAATTAACAAAGTAAGTTAACTGTTGATAACGAATATCATCACCTATTTGGCTGTTAATATGTTTCAGCGGACATGGACTAATGTTTAATGAAAGCGAGACTTTATTTTGCAGATATTAAGTCTATTCTAATATTACATAGGCCTAGAAAAATATGAGTCGGTATAAAAGATTGTGCAAATTGAATCTGTTCTTAACTGTTAGTTAACTGAGTAATAAGCATTACAAACAATTTCCAGTCCTTCTGTATATGTATTCAGTTCTGATTTTTTAACCTCGATCCACTCCTTTAGTCGAACGCACATTGGAAGAGCCACAAGATGACGCTTGTCAAGATTTGCTTGGTCATCCCTAAACTAGGCCTTCCACTTTTTTACTGAAGGCTGGATTAATTATATGCATATAGTGAAGTAACTACGATATAATCTGTACGATTGTTAATTGACCAATAAGAGCAACAAATCGAGAGAACTATAAGAAAATACGCACAACACAGTGCAGTGGTCCCCCGGTTTACAATTCCATCGACTAACGTTCCACCTCCTATAGTACCTCATTGTATCTATCGATAAATTTTCGATTAACTGTATGTTTAGCACGGCTCCCAATTTCGGGCAATCGCTCCTATGTGGACTCAGCAGGCTTCAGGCAATCAGCGTTTGTAGCTCACCTGGTTTGCCTTTCAATATCTGATGTGCATTGCTTGTGCAGCAAATGTTTGTCTTATATTCCATTAACGATAACTTAAATTAACAAGGGTTTTCGTTGAACCGCGTAATGTCGTTAACCGAGGGACCACTGTACTGTTCGCACCGCAGCTACATTCGACGCAGAAATCTCCAACTGTGTCCAGAAGATATGATCGTGTGCTCTGATTAACTAAATAACATGTTTTTATTGGTTTATTAAGGTATAATTGGCATTCATGATATTATGTTAAAATTTATTAAAGCAGGTATTCCATTGAATATTCAAAATAATAGTTTTATATATAGTCTATTTTCTGTTTTATTCTGCAATGAATTCTGAAGAAGGGATCTGCTCTATGGGGCTAGTTGTTGCTGTTATTTTTTCTTGGGTCTGTTATAGGCATTCGAATACTTTAGACTGCTGTTAATTAACAAAGTAAGTTAACTGTGAAATTAAAGTTATACATACTTGGTGGTACCCGTTCCAGGTACAGGATTTCAGTGTTACTGGGTTACAAGTCATACATATACAGTCTTGTAGTGTACCACATGTAACTAGCGTGTTCTCATTTCGGGATGATGTTCCTTAATTTCGCGTTTAATTCAAGGACGCTTTGTCAACTGAGTAGGTCTTATTGCATCGAATTAGAATGATTAATTAGTAGATTATTAGCTGCGATGTTTCAGCTGCAGACTTTCACAGTGTCGAATAAAATGGGAAGATTGTTATGTATGGTAAGTAATTACGGAGAAAGGGTTCGTGGCATGTTTCAAGGTACTAACCAGACGTTCGCCTTTAGAGGCAAAGTAAAAACGCAAATTAAAACTGTACACCGGTACACATGTCTGATATGTTCTTGAGAACTGACGGTAATTATTATAATGTTTTGTGATTCTTGTAGAAGGAATCAATAATGTCCGTCTTAAACGAATTTCCTCGGCATTTCCTTCGAGTGACTTAGGAGGACCTAATGAAATGTCAATATATTCGTTTGTTGGTTAGTTGGATGACTGGAGAAGTGGTTGTGATCAGGTAGCGTCATATGTTTCCTATGGACACACTCGCTTTTTCATTAATCTTTAAAAACTATAGCATTGAAAGATTTTTTGTTTTTTCCCCAATTAATTACTGTAATTTTTAGTTTGATGTGGGGAATATCACGAGAGTAATATGAATAATGATAAGCCTAATAGGGTAAGGTAGTAAAAATTGACACTTTAAAAATATGAGGCGGACGGGGACTTACAACACTTTTGCGGGGAGAGAAGAACTTTTAGTCAGTAAACTTCAAAGTAGACCAATAGGCGTCGATGGGAGGATAATATTTTGTTGAAATGGATTTAGCAGGCTCAGGATTTCGCCCAATGGTAAGCGTTTATGAACACAGTAATGAACCTTCGGTTCCCACAAGAAGAAAGTTTCTTTATCAGCTCAGTGCCTATGAAACACTTGGAAAGAAAGACGCTGCACCAAAAATGTATTTAGTTGTTTATATAAATCAGATCACCTTGTAGAATTTTATGTTTTTTCTGTATATTTTCTCTTAACTTTAGATTTGTGAGACTGAAAAT